CTTACACAGGTCCAAGGGACCAGCTTGTAACCCGTGGCATACCTGAGTAAGGAAATTGATGTAATGGCAAAGGGTTGGCCTCATTGTTTACTGGTAGGGGCAGCAGTTGCAGCCTTAGTATCTGAAGCAGGTAAAATGATACAGGGAAGAGATCCTACTGTGTGGACATCTAATGATGTGACCGGCATACTCACTGCTAAAGGAGACTTGTGGCTGTCAGACAACCGTTTGCTCAAATATCAGGCTCTATTACTTGAAGGACCAGTGCTGTGACTGTGCACTTGTGCAACTCATAAGCCAGTCACATTTCTTCCAGACAACGAAGAAAAAAATAGAACATAACTGTCAACAAATAATTGCTCAAACCTGCGCCACTCAAGGGGACCTTCTAGAGGTTTGCTTGACTGATCCTGGCCTCAACATGTATACTGATGGAAGTTCTTTTGTAGAAAAAGGACTTCGAAAAGCAGAGTATGCAGTAGTCAGTGATAATGGAATTCTAGAAAGTAATCCCCTCATTCCAGGAACTAGCACTCAGCTGGCAGAACTAATAGCCCTCACTCAGGCACTAAAATTAGGAGAAGAAAAAAGGGTAAATATATATACAGACTCTAAGTATGCTTACCTAGTCTTCCATGCCCTCGCGGCAATATGGAGAGAAAGGAATTCTGAGGGAACACCTATCAAACATCAGGAAGCCATTAGGAGATTATTATTGGCTGTACAGAAACCTAAAGAGGTGGCAGTCGTACACTGTTGGGGTCATCAGAAAGGAAAGGAAAGGGAAATAGAAGGGAACCACCAAGGGGATATTGAAGCCAAAAGAGCTGCAAGGCAGGACCCTCCATTAGAAATGCTTACAGAAGGACCTCTGGTATGGGGTAATCCCCTCTGGGAAACCAAGCCCCAGTACTCAGAAAAAGAAATAGAATGGGGAACCTCAAGAGGACATAGTTTCCTCCCCTCAGGATGGCTAGCCACCGAAGAAGGAAAAATACTTTTGCCTGCAGCTAACCAATGGAAATTACTTAAAACCCTTCACTAAACTTTTCACTTAGGCATTGATAGCACCCATCAAATGCCCACATTATTATTTACTGGACCAGCCTTTTCAAAACTATCAAGCAGATAGTCAGGGTCTGTGAAGTGTGCCAAAGAAATAATCCCCTGCACTTCAGGCCAAGCATTTCAATCCGTGTATCTTTAACCTCCTTGTTAAGTTTGTCTCTTCCAGAATCAAAGCTGTGAAACTACAAATGGTTCTTTAAATGGAACCCCATTATTAAGATCTACCATGGACCCCTGGACCGGCCTGCTAGCCCATGCTCCGATGTTAATGACATCGAAGGCACCCCTGCCGAGGAAATTTCAACTGCACAACCCCTACTATGACCCAATTAAGCTGGAAGCAGTTAGAGCAGTCATCAGCCAACCTCCCCAATAGCACTTGGGTTTTCCTGTTGAGAGGGGGTACTGAGAGACAGGACTAGCTGGATTTCCTAGGCTGACTAAGAATCCCTAAGCCTAGCTGGGAAGGTGACTGTGTCCACCTTTAAACACGGGGCTTGCAACTTAGCTCACACCTGACCAATCAGAGAACTCACTAAAATGTTAATTAGGCACAAACAGGAGGTAAAGAAATAGCCAATCATCTATCGTCTGAGAACACAGTGGGAGGGACAATGATCGGGATATAAACCCAGGCATTCGAGCCAGCAACGGCTACCCTCTTTGGGTCCCCTCCCTTTGTATGGGAACTCTGTCTTCACTCTATTACACCTTGCAACTGCACACACACACACCTAGATGACTGGTTGATGGGTGCAGCAAACCACCATGACACATGTATACCTATGTAACAAACCTGCACATTCAGCACATGTATCCCAGAACCTGAAGTAAAATTTAAAAAAAAATGAAGTATAAAAAGGAAACTTTTTCTGTACCAGCTCTCTCTTCACCTGCTGCCATTCATGTAAGATATGACTTGCTTCTCCTAGCCTTCTCCAGCTGTGTGGATTTGTAAGTCCATTAAACCTCTTTCTTTTGTAAATTACCAAGTTTTGGGTATGTCTTTATCAGCAGCCAGAAAACAGACTATTACAGTAAAGATTTAAAATAGACTGTGATGAGCTAACAATTAAGTTGTGCTACTAAAACCAGTTTCTCCTCTTCCTTCTCTCTTGTCCTTTACGTATGATGCTTAGTACAGCCACATAACACCCTAGATCAAGTAAGATTTAAAAAAAACTCTGTAATGTGTGAGAGTTCCAATGGCTTCTGAAATAAAGGAAAAAAGGAAGTCTTCCTTTATAGTATTGTGGCAGGAAGTAGGGATTTTTATAGGTAGCTGGTGAGGGTGTCCTCTCAAATTTCAGGTCCACCTGGAACTTCAGAATGTGATCTTATTTGGAAATAAAGTCTTTGCAGATGTAATTAGTTAGAATTAAGTCATAAGAGATTAGAATGTGCCTTAAATCCAGTATGATTGGTGTTTTTATACAAAGAGAAGCTCCAAATATGCAGAGACACACAGGGAAGAATCTTACATGACAAGAGAGGCAAGGATTGGAGTAATGTTGCCACAAGCCTGAAGTCACCTGGTGAAGCTAGGAAGAGGCAGGGGAGGATTTTTTTCTAGACCATTCAGATGGAGCATGGCTCTGCTAACACCTTGATTTTGGACTTCTGGCCTCTACCACTCTGAGAAATTAAATTTCTACATTTTAGGTTACCTGGTTTAATGGTACCTTGTTATAGCAGTCCTAGGAAACTGATACAAGTAAGTATTTTCTGGTTATATGGTGTGTGCAAATCCTTGGTGAATTCTATTTTATAATAATCTATTTGATTATCTTAACTTTTAAGTTCTAATGCTAATTAGATCCACTTCTTGACTTACTGATATAGTAAATGGACTACTACAGTATATTTGTATTGCCTGTGCATGTGTGAAAAACAAGGTATAAATTTGCATAGTACATCTAATAAGTGGCTTTATGTATTCCTAGGGAACAATCCATGAATGGTACAAATGAGGATTACAGAAATTAAGATTTAAATTCTTAACAATAAAAGCAGGATGGCATAACAGAAGTGGTGTAAGGATAAAAATCAAAACACTTGAGTTCCAGTGTTGCTGCTACAATTTATATGTGCATGACTCTATGCAAGCCATTATATTTTTCCACATCTGTAATCAGAAAATAAAAATATCGGACTTCCCATTTCACAGGATTATTTGAGAAATGAATATACTTGAACTACTTTATTAAAGTGTATAGTAATATGAAGTTTATTATATTAGACAATTAAGAAGGTACTTGAATAAAATACATATAACTCACATTTGCAAACCATATGTTCTGGTATGATGGCAAATCTCTGTTTAATCAATCTACTTATCTTAATGGCTTAGAGAGAAACTTATCAGAGATAAAATTATTTTCATAATTCAGGTTGTCATTTTTGGACGGTCATCTAGAGCCATTTTGCAGACCTGAGAACAAGTGGATGAGTGGCATCTGCAATTTGTAACTTTGACTTTTCAGTGCACAAACACAGGACCAATAATTCACAAAACCTACAAGTCTTTTTTCACACTTCACAGAAATATTTCTCAAAAGTTTTATGCCAACAACTGGGCCTCATCATTCTAATCCGCTTTTTAGCAAAAATGGAGACAGTGGTGCTGTTATCCAGGGATTTCCTAGAAGAACTGATGAAATGTCAGGCTAGTCATTTGCTTGCATTGTTGATTGCAGAGAGGGCATTTTTTTCTTGTTCATTTTTTGACTTTTATCAACACAGACAACATGATAAAGGGGAAGAAAGCCAATGATATCGTCACGCATGCAGAATTAAGAAAAAATTTATGAACATTGGTACTTTTCAAAAGATAATTTGTCTTCATTTCCATCATTTTGTGTGTACTACTGGCATTTTGACACCTGCAGATTTTGGCTTGGCCTGTATTGAACAGATGCACACTCCATCACACATGGGTATGGTTTTTAGGCAATGCATTTTTCCTTCACAAGCATGTCACCCACCCACCGGAAAGAGCTGAATACTACCATTGATTCTGTATATTTCTTTCAAATCATACTTTGTATTTTATTTTTGCTCATTAATATGATAGTTAAAAATCTTATCTTCCGTACCGTACCTATAAAAAATCTAGGTTTCAGTATTATTTACTTCCTTTTTTCTCTCAGTTACTTCTTTTTATTTTCATTGATAAGGAATTGTAAAGTGTAGCAGAATGAGTGGGAAATCAATGAATACCTCATTGGTTAAAATATCCATTATGGCTTTTTAATATATTTAATAACATGGGGATAATTAAGTGCCACTTAATGTCAACTGATTTTATTTAAAAAGCAATTTTTTATATTTTTCATAATTTGGTTTCAACTTCATAGACACCATTTGCTTTATGCTTTATGAATTTTAAGCACATACTTAAAACTAACAATAACATTATTAAAATGTAAAAATATTGATACCATTAGCTAAAGCTTATCCGCTAGGAAGAGCTGAGTGCTTTATCAAGTATATGTGACATTTATGTCTAAAAATATTTAATAAAATATTATCAGTATTTTGAGATTAATACTGATAAAAGTAATATTAAGTTGAGATAAATGGAATGCCATTATGGTTATATAATAATTTGGAAGCTAAAAGTACAGAATAAATTTTATTGTGTGCTTCCAGCTAATTAGATTACTGAGTGTTTTGAAGAAACTAAAATAAAATTCTACGTGTGTGATTTTTTAACATCAAAGATCCTTGTAAATTTTTTGTATGTTTACAAAATTAAACTGCTTTATAACCTATTTAGTACAAAATAGATCTAAAAGTAAGATACAGAAAAATGCAGGACAGGGAGTCTCTCTGAATCTGCTGTGATTCTGGGGACTGCCCAATTCGTGAATTGTTCATTGTTCAATTAAACTCCTTTAAATTTAATTTGACTGAAGTTTTTATTTTCACAGATGGTGTCAGAAGCGTCGTTCAAAGTAGAGAGCTTTAATGAACCCCAGAATTGCTGAGTGAACAAGCAAGGTACCTGCAAGGACCCACTTGTTTCCTTTGATCTCTCAGAGCAGTGGGTAAGTTCTCTTTTGGATTTTGGAACTCCATGGATTTGTGTTTTGAGCTTTCCAAGTTTCTGTGAGCAAATTTCTGTTCTAAACTGGGTTTGGAAGTAACTAGACTAAGTCCAGGATCAGATTTGATCTGGTAATTAACTGGCTTGGATGTAGTTAGAGGCCCCTTACATCTGACTGGGTCAGAAAGAAACTGGTAGTAAATAATAATATTGTCAGGGTTTTAAAGTTTGGCTTTGGAAAATTTGCAGTGATTTTTGTATTCTACCCCTTTGTTTCATTTGTCTTACATTCTTAGGTAGAAAAATCACTGGTTAAGTTAATCAAGGGAACCTGAGAGTAAAGCTGGTATTTTAGTTAAAAATGGGATCCTTAATTTCTAAAAAACTGATTTCCTTTCAACTTAAACATTAGGCCCAGGAAGCATTAAAGTCTTACAGAAATGATGAAATCTTACTAAAGATAACTTACAGTGGAACATTCTGAATGAACAACAATGCACTGAAGTTAATTTAAAAACGAGGGCTCCCCAAAATTAAATCTACTGACCTTGTAGCTTAGTTGCTATTCTGATCCAAAGGAAATAGACTGCAACACCAATTGGCTGACTTTGGATAAGTAATGGTGTACATTTTACCTGAGTAAAGGATGTGATTGGGTTAGAAGCCCTCCCCTCCTTCTTGGTTAAAATGGATTAAAGGTGGCAGGGCCCAACCAGGGGCAAATTTGACCTTTGCCAGTTCAATATTAGGTGCTAAGCAGAGTGGCTACTATCTGTGTTTTGTCACACATATTTTGCTCTGGCCAGAATGGAAAATGTTAATTTGTTTACCACATAAAGCCCCTTGGTCAACATCTTACAAAATGATGAGGATTTTGCCTGTGGTTCCATGATTTTCCATTGTGATGCAGCTTGGCCCCCAGAGGTATGATGTGGCAAACAGCATTGCTAGGTAGGGCTCCTCATGGAAGAGGAACCTAGAAACCTGACATGCTGGCAAAAGGGTAAGAATTTCCTTCCAGTCAGGCTTCTGGTATTTCTTTCTCTGTGCAAACCAGTTGAATGAATGATAAAAATCACTGTTTATCTCCTTTGTAAAATTTTGATTAATGTGAAAGAGGATTCTGAGGCTAGTCTTAAACTGTGGTGAGTCTGGTGTATTCTGTGCTACAAATTTGTCTTTCTGTGTCATTCTGTCATGAATAGGGGTACATTAGTATAGAACATGGGTTTAGGACCCCATAAGCTCACAATTCAAGATGGCCCAGCAAGCTGGTCAGTTACAAACTTTGCTGCAGGTCTCTGAAAAAAATAGAAAACCTGGGTGAGGTCTCCATCTTGTTTTATGTCCTTGGGAGCTTAACCTAATAACCATATATCAGTAGTTTCTTTTGGCTTCTGCCATTTTACAGTGGTGGCCCAGGTTCAATCCTGGCTTAAGAAATGACTACTTTCTGGTTGGTATCTGTGTGATATTTACCATTTGATAGTTCTCTTCCCCTCCATGAACAACTTCTGCCTTCCCTTCTTGAATTTTTCTGTCTTCAAGCTACCTTTGAAGATTCTAGATATTGTAAAAACTGCATGTGTTCCTAGCCCTGTTTCTTGAAGGATGCTCCCTACAGCCAGTAATCCTCAATACTGGCAAATGAAAAATCTTACAATTGCCAGATCTTCTTCTGTCTGTCTGTGTAGTTATGTATGTGTTGCATGTGTGATGTTTATATAAAAGAGCTCTAATTAACTGGCTTAAAGAAAAATAAGCACTTAAATATTCTGAAATAAAAATAAAAACTAATTCCTTTTAGTTCACATAACTTTAATAATCTTTTGGAAATAAAAAGTTTAAAATATTGTTGGTAAAATAAGGACATTTAGTCTAAATTAGGCAGGTCACATATTAGGTTTGCCAAAGACTGTAAGGTCATAAACTGCTGTGACTTTTGAAAATTGTTTCATTTATCTACCATGAACACATTAGATTCTAGATACAGCCTTGGGACATGTTGAATTAGCCATGCCCCCTAGCTATGCCCAGAAGGTTATAAAGAAAAGAGTCTATATAAGAGAGGATTTCATGTGGTAAATTCGTGTCCTAAATTAGAGTAACTGGTTGTTTAAAAAGAGGGCTGTTTAGGACAAGTTAGAAAATCCAAGCATGTCATAAATGGTCTGTGTAAGTCGTGAAATGATTGATGAAAGGAAATTTATGCACCAAAAGTAAAAGTTCCTAAGAGTTACCATTATAATATGAAATTAAGACTACTGAAAATAAGTTTTATTAATACATGCAAGGTGTATGAGTAGCGTGAAATGTGTTTTTGGTTAAAGATTATGAGATGGCGGCCAGGTGCCCTGTCTCAAGCCTGTAATCCCAGCACTTTGGGAAGCTGAGGTGGGAGGATCAGTTGAAGTCAGGAGTTCGAGACCAGCCTGTCCAACATGGTGAAACCCCATCTCTATGAAAAGTACAGAAATTAACCCAGTGTGATGGCACATACTTGTAATTCCAGCTACTTGGGAGGCTAAGCAGGAGAATCTCTTGAACTCGGGAGATGCAGGTTGCAGTGAGCTGAGATTGCCCCACTGAACTCCTGGCTGGATGACAAAGTGAGACTCTGTCTCAAAAAAAAAGGTTATAAGAAGTCATGGCATATAAATCTTTGCCAGAGGGTTAAAAGATTGTTTTAACTTAGATAAAGCTAAAAGTTTGAACAAGTTGTGGAAGGGTTATAAAAATTTATTTTGTGAAAGAAATTCTCTGTGTGATAATTCTGTGTGGGATAAATTTCAGTTGGTCATGATGTGTAATATTTTTAATATGTTGCTGAGTTTGGGCTGCAAATGTTTTGTTGACTTTTTGTCTATATTCATGAGAAATACTGATACATGGTTTCCTTTCTTGTGATATTTTTGTCTGGAGTTAGCTTTGGGGCAAGTCACAATGAGTTGAAAATTGTTCCAGCTTCTGAACTTTAACACTTTATGAATGATTCATGTCACCTCTTTTTAAAATACTTGATAGAATTTACCTGTAAAACTACCTGAATCTGAATTTTTCTTTCTTGGAAGCATTTTAATTACCAGTTTAACCCCTTTACTTGGTATACATGTATTTATATTTTCTATATCTTTTCTTGTCAGTATATATAATTTGTTTCTTATTTTAACCTTTGTCCATTTATTTAAGTTGTCTAATTTTTCAGCATAAAGTTGCTCTTATTCCCTTATATACATTTTAATTTCTGTAAAATCTATAATGATACACTATTTTTCATTTTGGATTTTCATTTTGTGTCTCTTTTTTCTTGTTCAGTATATATAAACTTTTGTCAATTTTGCTAATTTTTCCAACAAACCTGCCTGTGGTTTCATTGATTTTCTCTTTTCTCCATTTTACTAATTCTGTTCTAATCTTTATTACTTTTTTCTGCTTTCTTTGAGTTTGTTTTTTTCTCATTTTACTAGTTTCTTAAGGTAGAAATATATTTATTTGGGATTGTATTTAACATTAACATTTAAAGCTAAAATTTCTTTCTCTAAATACAGCTTTGCCTACATTGCTTAATTTTTTTTATGATGTGATTCAATTTTCAGTCATTTTAAAGTATTTTCTATTTTCCCTGTAAGTTATTTTTTGATCTATGAGTTATTTAGTAGTGTGTGGTTTATTTTCCGAAGATTAAAATTTCCATAGTTTTGTTGATTTCTAATTTAATATCTTTCTTTTGAGAATATACTCTATTTTATTCTTTTTAAAGCTGATTATGGATTACTGTGTTATGGCCGAACATGTGGTTTATCATAGGATATTTTTCATTTGCCCTTGGAAAGAATGTGTATTCTTTTGCTGTTAGATGGACTGTTCCATAGATTTCAGTTAGGTACAGGTCTTTGGGGAACAGGCAAGGATTATCTCTATTTTTATTCTCATTTTGAAGGGTAGTTTCACTGATCATTGAATTAATATTTGACATCTTCATTTTTTTAGATGTATAAATATATCAACTCCCTGCATTCTAGCCTCCGTTAATTCTGAGAAGATGTTAGTTTTATTATAATTCTCTTTTACGTGCTAAATAGTTTTTAATCTCATTGTTTTGATGGTTTCTTTTTAGTTGTTTTTATTTTTGTTGTTGTTGTTTGTTTGTTTGTTTGTTTTGAGACAGAGTATCCCTCTGTTGCCGAGGCTGGAGTGCAGTGGCAAGATCTCTGCTCACTGCAACCTCCGCCCCCTGGGCTCAGGTGATGCTCCTGCCTCAACCTCCTGAGTAGCTGGGACTACAAGCACACACCACCATGCCTGGCCAATTTTTGTATTTTTGGTAGAGACAAGGTTTGGCAAAATTGGGCAGACTGGTCGCAAACTCCTGGCCTCAAGTAACCTGCTCATGTCGGCCTCCCAAAGTGCTGGGATTATAGGCGTGAGCCACTGGGCCTGGCTTTTTTTTTTTTTTTTTTTCCCAGACAGCATCTTGCTCTGTCACCCAGGCTGGAGTGCAGTGACACAATCTTGGCTCACTGCAAACCTCCTTGGTGCACTGCAACCCTGCTGGGTTCAAGTGATTCTTATGGCTCAGCCTCCCAAGTAGCTGGGATTACAGGCATGCAACACCATGCCTGGCTAATTTTTGGCATTTTAATTAGAGACACGGTTTCACCATGTTGGTCAGGTTGGTCTCCAACTCCTGGCCTCAAGTGATTCGCCCTCCTTGGCCTCCCAAAGTGCTGGGATTACAGGTGTGAGCCACTGTGCCTGGCCTCTGCTTAGTTTTGACTGTCCAAAGTTTGACTATGATATATCTACATGCAAATCTTTTTGTATTTGTCCAATGTGGAATTTAATGAGCTTAATGGATATATAGATAAATGCTTTTCATCAAATTTGACATGTGTTTAGCCATTCCTTACTAACAAACCTTTTTTCTCCTTTTTTTCTGTCTCCTCTATTCTGTCACAGCACATAATTGAACTAAGCAACTACTCTGCCAGGGACAATCAA